GTTGTACATAACTATTAGGACAGTTCGTTTTGCGGTTATTAAATAAGCACGTATTACATTATTAACAGTGTATACATACGTCAATAAAAGTCTTGCAAGTTTCAACAGACGTTCATGTATTTATTTTATATCAAATCTCCAGATCTTTACGCAAAAAAAGGAGAATGGACACCATTTGTACAAGCAAACAAAACGCAGGTACACATAAAATTGTGTATTTTTTTAATCACTGTTAAAATCATGAGCTCAAGCTCTACTTTCCAGCTGTGCTTCTTTCAAGATTTACAACACACCGGTGAAAACCCCAGCATGCGAAAGTGCTAACGACGGCTAGCATTTCACTCTCTAAAAACGCGCAAACTCAATTTTGCGCTCAGAAAAAAAGGAGGTAACCTCAGATACAATCGCGAAGCACACGTACGCTTACCTTGGATGTTGAATATATTTTCCCCGCACTATTTTTTGCGTGTCGGTCGATACGAAGGGTCTAGTACTCTATTCAGCAGTGATGGGAAACGCAGAGGGGATGTAGCTTAGCTTCGCTGGAGAGGAACTGTGATGGGTTGCCAGATCGTGATGCCTATCAGAAGAGAACCGACGTCACAATCCACCACCACCAAGCGCAAAATAATAATCCTGTGTGGAAAAAAACGAATTGTATGACAATTCACATCCAACGTATATTCTCTAGTGAGAGTTCTGGAAAGAGATCACACGGGGAAATTATAGGATGCAGGATTTAAGGATCTCCGAGCAGGATTGAAGGATTTCTCCCTATAATCCCCAAAGGGACAGTAGTGCCACTCTAATGTAAAATCCATTTGCATTAAGCACCAATGTTGTAGCTTATAGGTCAATCCTATGAACAGATGTATGGCATCAAAATGTGTGACCTCACTGGGCAGGAGCTTATATTTGCATGCTAACATAAACCAACCGAAACCATTATGATCTGTAATGTTTGCAAACACACATACTGTGTGTACAAAAAATAACACAAGCTAAACAAGTCATGTTAATTGACTTGGTGTGGTTCATTAAAAATTAGTTCTTGTGCAACTTCCATCTGAATATTGGTGCCGTATGACTGAATGCAACACTGAAGATCAGAAAATGATGGCTGTCATCTTTAAAAAATAAGGCAACACATTGTACTGTAAACAAGGGTGTGGATTTGGCATGGCATTGGCAATAATTTAATCAACGTCAACATAATTGCTCTGTCAACTCTTAACCTGCACGTGCACCAAGTCAAGTTCACCACAATACTAACCAAAGCTGTGCAATTAATTAATATTCAGTTTTGATTTTGGCCTTCATGATTATAAAAAACAATAATAGGAATAAAAGAGTTAAGTCACACATCTCTCTTAAATTTCTCTACATTCAAACCTCCTCAAAGCCAGATTGCAGAAAAATCATGTAAATTGACTTTTGCAGCATGGGACGGGATTGTTATTTGCAAGGGTGTAGATTTACTCTTGTCATTGGTGGGGACATACATCCCTAGAGCGCATACATTGAACAGCACAAATCTTGTTTCGCGCTTTTAAAAACATGAATAAAGTATTTAATAATATGAAATAAACACTTAATATTACAAATAACCTAGGGCGAAGAATTGGCATGGGCAAAGGGGACGCGCCCACACCAATCTCCAATAATTACTGAAATGTCCCTACCGATAATTTAATCGACTACAACATAAAGTAATGCTCCATTAACTCTTAGCCTACACGTGCACCAAGTCAAGTTCGCTATTAGTTCACTGTAATACTATTACCCAATGTGCTATTAACCAAGGCAGTGCAATTAATTAAAATTCAGTTTTGATTTTGGCCTCTATACTTATAAAAAAGCTATAATCTGGATAAAATTGTAAATTGCATCACACACCTCTTTAAATTTCTCAACATTCATACTTCCTCAAAATCCGACTGCAATAAAATTATGTAAATTGACTTTTGCAGCATGGGACGGGATTGTTTTTGTATTATTAAGTGTTTATTTGATATTATTATAGTACTTCAATCATGTTTTTAAAATCGTGAAACAGAATTTGTGCTGTTCAATTCATGCGCTCTAGGGATGTATGTCAATGTCATCAATGTCAAGGGCAAATCTACGCCCTTGACTGACTGTAAAGCTAATATTATCTCAGAAATGTACATTTTTACTAGGGTTTCCACTCATTATACGCTTTAATAATACTTACATTTTTGTTTCACAAGAGATGGCTCTGTGCCAGTCTTACTGGAAGCCAGCATTATGAAATTGACATCAAATGACGCATGACATTAGGAGATTGCGACATTCATTTGACATATTTCCTACATTGGCTGTTGCTGATTGCTTATTTAAATTTTGTGAGTTCGGTGTGTCATGTCACAACAGTGATCAGCAGTGTGTACACATCACATTTTAAAATAGGTGTGGTTGGATTTTAACCACAGTCGATGCAATACTAAAATAGTAGGCCAATCAGGCATTAGGTAGTATCCACAGTGGAAACCCCCTTTAAAATGGCACTATATAGTGGGCTGTAACAAACGATACAATACAGAAGAAAAGTGAAACAAGTTAACCAATGTGTGAACACATCCTTTAGCAGAAAGATGAATCAGCATCTACAGTAGTTTAACACTGTTACCCTGGCTTTCATATAAGTGTCTTATGATATTTCATCCTATGCTCTTTTTACCAGAATAATGTAGCTAAAACACTGAGCAAATTGTGTTACTTAAACTTGGCTTAAGGTTTGAGTTCTCAGTTGTAATGGGAATGACGGGAATCTGCATGGAACAAAAGATTTCAGGTTTTTCTGGCTTCTCATAACTGCTCTACTGTGGTTTACTGTGGTTGCCAAGCAACGTGTTTCAAGGGACTCCTCATGGATATCACTGAACAGAAGAGCATTATATTTTACATCCAAAACTATTATGCTGGACTGAATTAGCATTAGTGTTGCGGTTTCAAACAACATATGAATTTATATCTTTCTTTCTTCTCCAGCTACTCTTTGTGGTCATGTTTGAACAGATTGAACAAGACAAGTCAATCTGGTTTTTGCAAGTAGTACTTGCCTTTAACTTTTGTTCTCCAGAGACAAAGCTTAAATGTGTTGACAATTTTATGACAGGACATTCATCCTTGTTTAGTTTGGTGTCGCCAGTGGTGAACTTCATTTCATCCTACCAGCAACAATTGTCTTTTGTGTCAAGATGAACTTCCCTGCCGTTTACTAGACCTCTGGCGTTGTCTGATGTATGTAAAGCAACATGAACTGTGGGGTTAATATCTATTCAACTGCACAGACAGCCCAGCAAGCATTTTTTTGTTTTTAAAAGATGTCCAATAGATGTTGTAAAAGTCATCTTGGCTAAAACAAGAGTAAATTTGGGCTGTCAGTGAAAATCTAATAGACGTCTCAGAATAGGCCAAAACTAGGCTAGGCAAAATAAAGAGAAATCAATGGCCGATGGCTACACATAAAAAGTCTGTTTAACCACTAGTCTTGTTTCGAGCTATTGTTAGATTTCTGTTAGATTTTCACTGACAGTCAAAGTTTAGCCTTGTTTTTGCCAAGCTGTCTATGTTTAGATGTCTATTAGATACTAAACACAATAATTGTTATCTGCGAGGTCTTGGTAAATGCAAATCTACCGACATAAATGAAAATGATGATTGATGAAATCCTGTCAATTTCCTTTCATAAATGACTGGAACTGGAAAGATGATCCTTTTTATCAACTCAAAGAATCTGTAAGAGAAAGAAATATATACAGTGTAAGTCCTAAAATCTATATATTTTATCTTGTTTAAGCATAAACACAGAAAGTACCAAAACCCAACTACTGTTTTTCCAATAAACCTTCAGATTGAAAGGTCATTTTGCTCCACAAAGGAAACATTATTGTCACGAAGAAGCTTTTCTCTTTCAGCTGAATCACAAGCAGCTGTAAAACCTTTTTCTGCTGATGTTCCTTGTACCCTAGAAAAGATTAATGAGACACACATGGACAAAAAATGTAAGTAGACTTTCTGTGGTCAAATTAGATCTGTATTGTCAGCAGAATTTTAAACTATCTTTGAGCGTAGGTGTAAAACATACATCAAATTGAGCAACTTACCATGCAATCTACTGTTCAACTTGTGCGTTTCCTGTGTAAAGTTAATAAGAGTGACCTCAGCAGCACATTTGCCAAAAAGACCACCCCTCCATCACTTCTATAAAACCCCAAACTTAGTCTTTAACGGCAGATGACACAGAATGTCTGTATTATCTTACAAGACTTTTGCTGGCTTCCTCAGTTTGTTGGTTTGTCTTGGAATGACTTTTGGTCCATATCTCAGTGGTAAGAACATGTTTAAATTTAATTTAATTGGAACAGGCTTCAGAATAATGACAAATCTTTGTTCCGTCACTTCATATCCAGAAGCAAAGTGTGGATCTTGTAAAGCAAGAGGATTCCTTGACCGTTCTTTGAGGGTAGTTGGAGGGTCAGAGGCTAGACATGGTTCCCATCCATGGCTGGTACATAAATTTTCTTCTTTACAGATTGCATAATTACATTTGCACTAAATGAAATAAATTCTAAAATCATCTACAGGTGTCTCTTAGGATCAGAGGATCACATTTCTGTGCTGCAGCTATCTTGACAGACCACTGGCTGTTGACTGCAGCTCACTGCTTTGCAAGTGTGTCCAAGTAGGTTCACTTATTTACTCATGATTAATCATAACGTTTGACCCTGTCAATGCTTCATTGACTTACTATTGAAAATAACTGCCTGCCCTAGGGACTTTTTGCACAGGATTGAGGCTGTAGCAGGTAATTTCAACCAAAGAAAAATTGACAGAGGGCAGAAAAGCTTCCAAGTAAAGACTATAAAATTCCATGAAAAGTACCAACGAAACTCACCCATGAGCTACGACATTGCTTTGCTTGAGATTAATGGACGCATTCACTTTGGCAAGTCATTCTTTTTGCAAGTCATACCTTTATATCAACTATAAAACTTTATTTTTTTATTAGAATTAAACATTTCAGATGTGTTTTCTTCACAGGTGATTATATTAAACCTGTTTGTCTGCCTAATCCCGGTGAGAGGTTTTTACCAATGACAATGTGTGTTGTTGGTGGATGGGGTCGTATTACAGAGAGTAAGAACTAATTTGAGCAACAGTGAATTCAAAATAATAACTTGAGAGAAAGATCTAGGGACAAAGCTGAAAAGGTCTGTTCTCTCTTTAGGAGGGTCGCTTTCTTCGGTTCTGCAGGAGGTGCATCTGGATCTGTTGGACCAAAGCAAATGTAAACACGTCATAAAAACTCTTAAACCAGGGCAGAAGACCTTCACAGTTATGTGTGCTGGCCCAGAAAGAGGAGGGAGAGATGCCTGTCAAGTATGTTGACAATAAAAAAGTTTCTCAAACATACCCATGGCCATTACTGATACCTTCATGACTAAAGTTTCCATCTGTCTTCCTCTACTTCAGGGGGATTCTGGGGGTCCTCTTCTCTGCCCCAGAGCAGATGGACGGTGGGTAGCTGTGGGGGTCACATCATGGGGTAAGGGCTGCGGTCGAAGTTGGAATAATAACAAGTTCAAACCCGGATCCAGAAGAGGCTCACCTGGAGTATTCACTGATGTCTTAATGTTCCTGTCATGGATCAAGTCAAATCTTAGAAAAGGTGAATGCTTAAGTTGAGTTAGAGTTTATAACCTGTTGTCATTTGCTATGAAACTCTATGTGCTGGTATGGTAAATAACTACACAAACAAAGTTTCTGTAAAATGTGTGGCTCTAAAATAAATGGCAACTTTATTACCAAACTCAATGTACTATAGGTTTGGACAGGTCTCTGTGCAGCGTACCTGATGGAGTGGTTGTTGGAAATGAAGGTGTCATCAGAAATCCAGTTCTTCCAGGACAAAGTTACAATAACAATGAGTGAGTAATATCTGATGTATCTTACATATTTTGATATGAAGCACAAAACCGGAAGCCTTTACACAATTTTTTTTTGGGGGCAGAATGTGTTTGTGGTTCATTCAAGTCACCACTGGTCAGCAAATTCTACTGAAGTTCATTGAGATTGACCTGGAGAATGACACCCAATGCCAAAACGACCAACTGACTGTGTATGTGGATGAAAGTAGGCAAATTGGTGAGGGGTAGAAAGAATGATAGAAATTATGACTTGGTATATTTGAGGTTTGATGTTTTATCTTGCTCACCAGGACGGTTCTGTGGTAGTCAGCCTCCTTCCCCGATTCTTATTGGTGCTTCCCATAATGTCAAAGTACAATTTGCATCTGACATAAGCAGCACAGGTGCAGGATTCACAATCCAGTTCAGTGGTGTTCCTGAGGACTACAGTTTTGGTGAGTTGAATCTGTCAGACTGATTTCTTAAGCTCTTGTTGTTGTGCAATATTTTTTCAAATTCTTGTCAATGTTCAAATTCTTTGAAGGTAACAGAATAAACATGCTTGAGAAATTCAGAATCCTCAAACCTGTTTGGTAACAGTACAGTGACAATACAGAATGAGTTGTGCTATTGAAGTCATTGGGTTTCACCATACTGTACATTGCTTGGATGATTGAAATAACATGTTTGCACACTGTGTACTTCATTAGCATGCTTGCACAGGCCTACTGTTGTATTTTCGAGCATTTACATATCTGTGTATCCATAGAGGTCCAGAAACCTTCCACCCTTAATGTACTCTTCTTAGCAGCCCATGTTGTGCTTGACTTATCTGTTGGTTTCATCACCTGGACTGCAAGGTCTGCTTAGCTCCCCAGTCAGATTGTAAGGCAGTAGGCAACCCCAGTAGAATTAATTGTGTTTTTACACTGCAGCCATTCAGGCTCCATAGAGGGTAGAGAATCTTATCTCAAAGGAACCATTTCCATAGTTGCATGTCTGCCAGGGGGCATCCACCAATTCGGAGCAAGTTCGTAGAAGGTAAGAGCGTGGTTCAAATCACCCCCCTGCTCCCCTCGGTATGACCCTTGCCAGACAGAAATGTGACACTGTGGTGCAACGTCATCGGCCGGGCTCCATTCCACCAGTTTCTCCTTTTGTGTTTGTGCAGGGGCTGAATGTGGAACAGTAGTGCTGCTAGAGCCCAAGGGGGCTGTAAAAAGTCCCGCCTATCCACAAGCCTACAGCAACAACAGCCTTTGCCGGTGGGTCATCTATGCCCCGAAGGGCCACATAGTTAAGGTAAAAACAACTCTGTAGCCCCTGTGTTGGCTCAGTCGGTGCCTGGTGGCTCCTCTGTCCAGTCGTGACCAGTCTGTCCGGTCATGAATGCATGCATGCAGTGAGATTGGAGGCTCTGATCAGTTTCACTGCAAGAGAAAATGTGATACTCAATTAGACTTCAAAGAGCGACACTGTGACGTTACTGCAGACAGGTAGTTACTAAATGCAATGTAGATATAATTTTTGAAAATTACATATCTGCAAGTGTCAGAAGCACTAAATTGAACTATGTCCCCCCATAATCACTGTTTGCTATTTTCTAACATGCTTTTTGCAATATAATAACACTATTATATACTTTTAAGCTCGACTTTGATGACTTTGATCTTGAGGAGTCAGAGGACTGTGAATATGATTCACTCACAGTGTTTGGAGACACTGATGGCAAGGATGAAATAGGTAAAAGAATTATTAAGCAATAGATAAGAATTTGTTTTGTTTTAATTTAAACAGAACTACATGCTAATGCTCATGGAGTTGGTTAAATCTCTTGTTTTTAAAAGAAGTTTCTTATTAAAAATATAGAAAATATTACTGATATTTTTAAACAATTGTTTTGTATGTACTAAACTACAGTAAAACATTTTAGGATTTTTTGATGAATAGAAAGCTGAAAATGACAGTATTTTAAAAACAAAATCTGACAAATAAAAAAAAGTCTTTACAAATAAAAATGTGCTGATCTAAAACGTTGTAACTCTTTAGGTTTATTTTATCATTAACAATGCAAATGTTACAGAGTCAGAAGTCTTATGTTTCAAGCACTGTCTGTGTTACAGTGTCACTGTTATCAGTTACACAGGGAAAAAATGCAGCATTATGGGAAATGTAGTCAGTGCTGTGCTATTTATTTTGTTGTTGTTTATTTTAAGTGGCAGTATGTGGCCAGAGCATTCCTCCAGCTGTCCTCAGCTACAATCACATAATGTATCTGCAGTTCAACACAGACAGCACCATCTCTGCCCGCGGTTTCAGTGCCTCCCTATCTTTTATCAGTGAAAAAGGTGAGAGTCAACATGAGGAAAAAACGTTCAATGCAGGTGTTCAAATTTCAACCAAGCAAACCTGACCCACAGGTAACCTACTATATAAACACACTACCGGACATCAAAATATTTGTGCTTACTCAAAAGGTCAACAATAAAGTCAAATCGTTAAAGGAATGTTATTAGTTCATTTTCACAATTTATTTATTTATTTATTTTTTTTTTTAGAAAATAGGCCTATTTTACAAATCCCATATACACTCAGAAATAAAAGTACAAAATCTGTCACTGGGGTGGAACCTTTTTAATAGATACATTTTTGTACCATACAGGTGGATGTTAGTAAAGTACCTTCTTGGTACTCTATTGTATCTTTAAGGTTCACTTTTGTACATTTAAGGTATACTATGAGATACTATGCTGAACACAAAAGAAGATATTTTGAAGACAGCTGGAAACCTGTAATAATTAAGTGCATATATTTGTTTTTCCTACTATGGAAGTAGATGGTTAAAGTTTTTTTTATTGCTTTCTTCAAAATATCTTTTTTAGTGTTTAACTGAAGAAAGAAACAAATACAAGTTTTGTAAACACCTGAGTGTGAGTAAATATTGAGTTAATTTTCCTTTAACACCGTTATGTTTTTCTATTTTTGAATCAATTCAGTCGATCTACAGGTCTGGTGGAAGCATTTTTAACTTAGCATAAATCAATAATAAATAAGAGGTAATGATAATTTTCATATTCAATATAGTGAGCTAGTGCTTTAAACAGTTGTTTTACCATTTTTGATTACATTTAGTCAATCTCCAAGTCTGATAGGAGCACTTTTAGCTTAGCTTAGCATTAAATCAATAATAAATAAGAGTTAATGATAGTTTTCCTGTTCAATATAGTGAGCTAGTCCTTTAAATAGTTAAGTTTTACCATTTTTAAATCCATTCAGTCAATCTCCAGGTCTAGCAGGAGCACTTTTAGCTTAGCTTAGCATAAATCAATAATAAAAAAAAGAGTTCATGATAGTTTTCCTGTTCAATATAATGAACTAGTCTTTTAAATAGATGAGTTTTACCATTTTTAAACCCGTTCAGTCAAGCTTTTACTTTGCATTTTACTCAACTTTTAGCTTAGTTTAGCATAAATTAACAATAAAAAAAGTTACTGATAATTTTCCAATTCAATATAGTTCCTAGCCATGTCAACCTATAAAATAGAAGCTTTTCATTTTTCGTCGGTCTTAGCACACGATGTAACAAAAGAAGAGTCTAGAAAGAAACTGTCAAAACTTTTTTAAACATTTTAGAGCGAGATGCTACTGATCTAATCTAATTCAATGATTTATGACCCAGAGATCAGCTGAATGGATTTCCAAAAATTTGGAGTATTTCTTTAAAACAAGTTTTTAACAGATCACCTTTTATACAACAAAGACATAATAATAAGGCTATCAAGTAGCTTTCTAGTTAACTCAAATTACTAAGCCTTTTTTGACACCACTGTTTTTGTAACCACAGACTTCTGCTGTGTGAAATGATGACAAAACGATAAGGCCCTAAATATCACATTTCCTTGCAGATCTCCGAGAGACGGTGTATGAAGATCAGGGGGAGGAAGCAGATGATGATAGCAGAGTTATCTCACCACATTTGCAGGCTGGTTTGTCCTTTGTGCTCTCCACAGTGAGCTTTAAAACAGGCTCTTGTTTTAGGGGATCTTTAGAATGTTAGGAATCCAGCCGGAGTCATGTCAAATGTGTAAAATAAGAGAACATTACAAACGTATCTATCTCTGAACAGATTGTGTGGGTGTATTTGGTTTACCACAAGTATTCATGCTAGTGTTCACTCCTCAGCTTTGTGCGGAATGCCTGATGTTACTGATGCCTCTGGACTGGATGGCCTGAAGAGCGCAGAGGATGATGGGAAAGTGCCTTGGCTGTGGCACGTGAGCATTAGTTTGGATTCAGGCCACCACTGCAACGGGGTGATCATCCAGGCACAATGGATCCTCACTAATGCACACTGTGTTAATGACCTGTGAGTAATGCTAGAAACAATAAAAAAGCTGTTTTCTTTAGAGCTCCTAAGGGCACATGATGATGGAGGAAAGTTACATTTCAATGCTTTTGTGCTCCCTCGCAAAAAGCATTACATTTCCTGAAGAAACTTTGCATTTTGTCATAAAGTATAACAGTCGATAGCAACAATGTTATATTCTCTACCAAATTCTTGTCTTCCTTCAAAAAAAAAACAAAAAAAAAAGTTCTTACAAAAGTATTGAATTATCTTCTACAATAAGTGCATTCTATTGAGAAATAGATGACTCTTTTTGATGGGTCGCAAATGTATTGTGTTCTCTAAAGCAACTTTGAGCTCACTTGCAAAAGTAGTGCATTCCCCTGAGAAATGTTGCATTATCTCATAAAACATTTTCATTCTCTCGTAAAAGTATCCAAGCAGGCACCTTGCTGTAAAAAAAAATAAACGTAAAAAAACAAGTCAAAAATGTAAATTAATTTAATATTAAAACCTTGACGTCCATTTGACATGACCACTAAAATGACAACTCAAAAAGTATTATAATGTAAGAAAAGTTTTACTCATATGAAAGCTTCACTTATGAATCAAAAATTTACAATGCATTTTGTATCCCTATATGCAAACTACCTTGATTTTAAAACTACTCTGCATAAAACATTGGCATCAAAAAACTTCAAAACATCAAAACAAAAAACTTTTTCGATGTTAATTTGATGTTGTTTTGGCATCAATGTAGTCAAATAATTTCAAAATTGATTTGTATTTTGCGAAGTTTACATATAAATTAATTTAGAAAGATCATGTGCTTATGATTGACCACAGTTGGTCCAGCTTTAGCTAACACATGATTCACCAATTAGACGATTCCTAATTCAATATAAATGACCGTAATAAATAACCAAAGTTTCTTACCTCAGTTATCTTCATCTTGAAGAACCCCCCGTCACTGTTGAAGGCATTCTCCCCCAACCGACTCCCCAATATTTCCCTCTCTTTACAGATGGGATGGCAGACCAAACCAAAGGTTACCATTGGCCAACTTTGGCCAGCAGACCCTACTTTGGGCACCTCTGCTTTAGAGCAAAATGGGTGGACTGGTAGTATTTACACTGATGCAATTTCGCTGTTTTATGATTATGCCTGGTATTACAATTTTGCTACGATTATAAAATTCTTCTGTCGTCTTCAATCTGCGAAACCAAGCGTTTTGAAAACATTAAAGATCCTGTTTTAGTTTGGAAATGCTGATATTTTATTCAGTATGGACAGGATAAAACACAAACGTTTATTAACTAATGCTTGTCTGGCTCACACTCTAGTATTCTAGACTATTGAGTTGTGTTCTCTGATTCGTCAAATCATTCTTATATGACCATAACACAACCGGTAGACTGCAAGTATGGATGCTGGCAAAATATCTACATGGCCAGTGAGCAGAATGATCACATATTGTGCATTTTAGCCAATTTAGTGAAAATGGAGAGCATTTTTCTAAAACACACTAGTGCCTCTGCCTCTCAAGTTTTACTGTCCTGCACAGTTTAGCTCCAACCATAATCTAACTTACCAATCTGATGCTTTCCTGTAAATCCGGAAGACAGTATTTAGCTTGTTTGCGTTTGAGAACAGAGATGAGGTTCTCAAGGTGAATGCGTACCTTGGCTTTAAGCAGGCCTGTGCAGAGACCGTCCAAAGGGCATGTGCAGGATAAATTTTTTGAAGAGCGGGCTGGGGGGGTGTTTGTTGGGGGTGTTAAGGGTCTGGCTTAAATGGTCAAACAACAAAAAATAAGATAAAGAATCTTGGTGTGACTCTGGAGTCAGATCTGAGTTTCAACAGTCATGTCAAAGCAGTCAGTAAATCAGCATACTATCATCTCAAAAACATTGCAAGAATCAGATGCTTTGTTTCTAGTGAAGACTTAGAGAAACTTGTTGATGCTTTTATCGACAGCAGGGTGGATTACTGTAACGGCCTCCTCACTGGCCTTCCCAAAAAGACAGTCAGACAGTTGCAGCTCATCCAGAACGCTGCGGCCAGGATTCTGACCAGAAGCAGGAAATCAGAGCACATCACACCTGTCCTCAGGTCTCTACACTGGCTCCCAGTTACATTCAGAATAGAGTTTAAAGTATTATTACTGGTCTATAAATCACTAAATGGTGTAGGACCTAAATGCATTACAGATATGCTCACTGAATACAAACCCAACAGATCACTCAGATCTGTAGGATCATATAAACTAGAAACTCCAAGAGTTCAGTCAAAGCAGGGTGAATCTGCCTTCAGCCACTATGCCCCCCGCTGCTGGAATTAGCTTCCAGAAATGATCAGATCTGCTCCAACATTAGGCACATTCCAATCGAGACTGAAAACACATCTGTTTAGCTATGCCTTTACTGTATGAGCACTGTGCTCTGTCCGACAGATCACACTATTATGTTTTTTATTTTCGTTTTTCATTCTTTTATAACCTACTTTAACTCATTTTTATTTGTTTTTATCTGTTTTTAATAATTTATATTGTCTGCATGTTATGTTCCTAAACTTCTCTTTTTTTATTCCTGTTTATGTAAAGCACTTTGAATTGCCACTGTGTATGAAATGTGCTATATAAATAAACTTGCCTTGCCTTGCCTTGTTTGGATGTATTAATTACAATTGCACCCTGCAGGAAAGCCAATTTTGAGAGCTGGAGTTGCTATGAGTTTCTAAAGCTGTTTGTCTTCATTTATTTAGTCTATAAAATAATGAACTATTTTTTTAATACAAGTGTTGATTTTTTTGCAGGGATGAAAGACTTCTGAGAATTTTATCAGTGACAGCACATGGTTTAAATAAACAGGTGAGAATGACACTTCCACCAACAACATACCACCAACAGGAAAGTGACTTCAATGTTTTTAACAGGAAGTAGCAATGTTGATCTGCTATCAATGCATCAATCTCATCTCTTAAAGCGACCGTTCGCCCCAAAAAACATTATAAACTCAATAATCTCTTCCTTAGACCCGTGAGGTGTTCAGAGTATTCGTAAACCCTCAATTCAACTCCTCTTCTCTGGACTATAACGTGGCTTTGCTTCAGCTCAGCTCTCCATTAAATCTCAGTGGAAGAACACAGCCTGCTTGTCTACCCTCTGCTGGTCAGGAAATCCCACCCTCTCTCCAGTGCTGGACTCCAGTGTGGACCGGCCAAATGTGTACGTCACCCGTCTGCCTTCACAAGCTGAGTGCTATGATAGTTACACAATAGTCTGACTTGGAGGAATTTCATATCTGCGTATATATCATAAGCAAGCATGACTTTCACAATCACTTGTTGAATAAACTGAAAGCTGACCTCTGGCTGAACTTTCAAAACTTTACACAAAGCAAATTTGAGATTTTTCTACTGCACATTTTGCACTCTGCAGACCTTTCGGTGAATGTTATGCACTCTTTTTTAGCAGGACATGAGCAGTGGCTAAAAATATCTGTGATGGAACGCGCAGTGTGTGAACAACACCAAAGAACTAGGCTGACACCTACTTTGCTGTGTGCTGGACTGAGCAGTGGAGATTCAGGCGTGGTGAGGAGCTGCTGTAAAGTATTGCTGAACACTTCCTGTTTGCTAGTAAGGAATGTAAAAGAAGAAATGCTGACCTCTAGTGGCTATGTTTGATAATTGTTTAAAATCCCACTCTTAAAGGGATAGTTCCCACAAAAACAAACATTTTGTCAACGTTTTCTAATCCACTTGTTCTGAACTGGTTTTAGTTTCTTTCATCTGTTGAACACAAAGTATGATGTACTGAAGAATGTTGGAGAAAAACAGCCATTGATTTGGACAGTATTTTTTTTATTATTAATGGCTGCTTTTCCCCCCCAACATACTTCAGAATAACCCATTTTGTGTTCCAAAGTAGATATCAATTCATAAAGGTCTAGTGAGTATATAAAAGTGGGCAAATAAAATTTTGGTGAACTATCTTTTCATTTAATGAAGTCTCTCAACAACAGACTTCAATACCTTTAAAAACAATGCAAAAATGAACAATATAATATTAAGTTTAGAGATAGAAAACTGACAGTATAAAACTACAAAACTAGCGGTTTACTCTAGTTTGTTTTTAAAGTGTACTTTCATTCATTCATTTTCCTTCGGCTTTGTCCCTTATTTATCAGGGGTCACCATAGCGGAATGAATCGCCAACTAATACAGCATATGTTTCACACAGCAGATGATCTTCCAGCCACAACCCAGTACTGGGAAACATCTATACACTCACACATTCACTCACGCACTCATAAACTAAGGCCAATTTTGTTGACCTAATTTACCTATATCGCATGTCATGGACTGTGAGGGAAACTAGAGAACCCGGAGGCAGGCCCACCGCTTGTGGTCACCCCAATATGACCTTAAGGTACATTAATAGAAGAAGCTGTATAAATAATATTGTGGCTCAAATAGGAACATGAATAAATAATATTATTAGGGTCTATATATTGAGTGTGTGTGTTTATAGTAATGCCTTTTGTTCATTTGTTTGTTTAATTAATTAATTAATTCATTCATTCATTCATTTTAGACATGGCATATACCATATGCTGTACAATAAAAGTATGTAAAAAATAACTAAAAAGTTATTTATATATATGAAAAGTGTTTTTCAACTTTTTGATTTTATTGAATTTGAATTTATTGATTTCTTTAGGAATTGATTGCGATATATTAAAATTTATTAATTAAATGAATTAAAACCACATTTTTTCTTTTACCAGAAACAAGAATATAACATTGAATGAATACATTATTTTCATTATTATACAATTTTATTACAATTATTATTAAATTATAAGATTTATAAGATTATAGGAACTGGCATAGACTTGAACCAGCAACCTTATTGCTGTGAGGCGACAGTGCTAACCACTGAGCCACTGTGCCACCAAAGTGTATAGATAAACTTGAAAAAATATGTGCTACAGGTATTTAATTAAAATTTAACTAGAGAAGGTTAACTGGTAAACTATCAGTATACTTTTATACACAGAAAAAAGACTTGCAATCATTTATTAAAGTAATTTGAAATGAGGTCACATTTTTTCATGCAAAAATGTTCCAAAATCCAAATCTACTGTACATAAATCTATTAGGTGTAGCTGTACTGCTCAGTTCCAAAAACAAAACCCATAGCTGTGAACTAGTTGTGTATTTAAAGTAATACAATTATAACTGTCATTCACTCACCCTTTACTTGCTCCAAAACCAGCCTGATCTCTCGAGGAAACATATCTATTTTACATTTTGTCAGTTTAGTGGCTAATTTGTTTTAATTCTTACAAGTTCAGTTGTATGTAAATGTAAGATTTTAGGTGTGGCACCCAACCCCACTCTTAAACCCAACCATCCTTGAGATTGAGCGAATTGAACTAGATAGTACGAATGAGATCATACAAATTCATACGAATTAGCCACTCAATCAAAAAGTTACAAACTGCTGTAAGATTGTGTTGCCAAAACTATATTAGTTTCCATCTTCTGTTCTGCTAAACATAAAAGAAGAGTTTTGAAGAATGCTGGTAACCAAAATATTTTGTTGCCCATTGACTTTCAATGTACAGACAAAACAACATTTTTCAAAATGTATTTTTTTGATCCATGTAGAAATTTTGAAGGTCAGCGATAAACAGACATTTAAAAAAAGTTAGTATGATTTTTGCTAATATACTGTAGCTTATTCTTGTCTGTTTCACAGCCTTACTGGAACAGTGGATCTCTCTATTGTCTGACAAACACATCTGGTGTTGTTCTGATGGGACTCAAGAGTTGGGGAGAAACTTATGGTGGAACGCAGAAGCCTGCGGTTTATTCTTCAGTTCCAGCCACAATGCATTGGATCTCGCAAATGTTGAACACAGAGTGAAAACTCAAAGTTATTAGCATAAAAGCCGCTGTGATTCAATGCTGATAATTAGTCGACATCAATATTTTTAATCGACTAATCATTTTATATTATTTTACCTTTTAATTGTCATTTTCATGCTTTAATTAATAAAAAATGAGCAGTGCGAATAGTGTCATTCAAATAGTCAGCAGTGACCAGCCTCTGAAATGCTACACAGAGTTATCATACACTGAAAAAAATGTTGTCTGCAAAATTGTTGTAAACTATTTATTTGTGTTGAATTTAAGCAAACAAATTAAATTTAGTAATGTTTAACTTAAAGAGCCCATATTATGGGTTTTTGAAAATGCCCTTCCATGAACTGTGTAACAGCTCTAAGTGAAGTGAAGTATCCAGCTAAGGCTTAAATCTGTAAGTGTACAGTGTTTATAACTGTTGATTTATCTATAAAAGAGTCGACTCATAGTGCTTCAAATGAGTTGTCTTGATAACGAGTCATTAGGTGTTTCGCGATGACGTGATAACGAAACCAAGTAATTGCATGCGCAAACCCGGGAGATTTGAAACCTGCGGCCCCGCCCTCTAACACAGAAAATGACACACACACACACACACACACATGCCGGTCAAATGAAGTCGCAAAGTGCAAATGGATATTATTGAGTCTTTACCCAAAGATGAAACCTCAGCATTATAGCCCAGCCTTGAGCAGTTTGAGTGCTTCTGGAAACTAAATGCTACAAAGAATACTTCATCTGCCGTTTGTTAAAGGAGGGCTATGACTATGTCAGAACCTGGATCGGTTTCTTCCTCCATTTCTCAAGTGTAACTACGTGCGATTAAAGTTGTTGGCTCGTTTACTCTAGCTTGCAAATGTATTTAGTTGTGATTTGTTACTTGTAACCGCGTGTACTGTATCAAGTTAACTTGCTATATTGTCATATCGAATGTAAAGCCACGTTAAAAATGCAACACGTGCCGCTTTGTTTACGGACCTCCATGGAGGAGGGTAATGTGTGTGTGTGTGTGTGGGTTGTGTCCTCCTCTGAGGAGGGCAATGTGTATATGTGCGTGTGTGTGAAAAGAGCAGAGTGTGACAAGCTAGGAGATCTCCTCGCCAGTTCTTGGAGTTTTTGCTCCATAAAATAGTTAGTCGTCAGTATTTTCAAGTCCATCGTCTGTATTTGCATTTACCCACTGGCAGCCAAAATCCAGGCCTTACACTATGAAACGTGTATGCACTGTGACTACTTTTATATTGTTGATTAGCTGCTGGGCATTTCACTCTGTCTGGCACTGAAGGCAGTCAGTATCAACCAATCGCAACAGACTGTCATCGGTCCAATCAGCGCAGATTAGCTTCGCACTAAGGAGGGGTTTGGGAATAAATGAATCACTGGACGATTCATACGGGAGTTGCTGGGATAATTAGGTAAAAATAAATGCAGATTACAAGATAATGAAAGTGTTTTTTGACCTTGCATGCATATTAGACTGTTGTTGGAGACCCTTACAAACAAAATATGACCCTATTTTATGTATAATATAGGCTCTTGAATTTGTTTGTTTAAATCCAGCCCAAACGAATTGTTTACAACCACTTAACTTAAAATATTTTAGTAAAAAAAAGGAATCATCTTTGAATATTTTTTTTTCAGTGTAACACATACTCATTAGAAATATGTGCCCAGTGCTACATTTTTTGAGAACCCACAAATATGTACCCTGGACTATGTGTTTTTGCATTTTTTTTGACAAACCCACACACTCCCTTCCCTAAACCCAACCAATAGTGTTCTCAAAAGCAAATAAAAGAGAAAAGCTATCACGACCAAATGTTTCTATATCAATATGGGTTTCATTTTCCTTGGTTTCTGGAACTGTCCTTCGCCAGACTCGAACCCTGGGCTGCTTTTTTTTACACCCAAACTCTGCTGCTGTGCATGGTGAGGTACTGAGCCAACCAGTTACAGCAGAAAAGCCTTTCATACAGAGGTAAGCAGTCAGCGGTAATACCCAGTAGCATTCGTTTTACACACAAAATGCAGCCAATTTGTACCATATTTGTTGGTTCTCAAAGATATAACCCTGGGCGCATTTTCCCAATGAGAAAGTATTTTGAAGTAAGATAAGATGTTTGTGTGTTGTCTTCAAATAAAAGAGTGTTTCAGGAAACAGGTAACATCACATGATCCACCGATCTGCATATTTAGTATGCTTCCAAATGCATATGCAGCGTAAGTTTCAACCACACTGAATTTTAGTTTGCTTTATGTGAATTTAAACCAGATTTATTTACAGCCGTATATTATTTCACACTGTGAGTTTCCACTATATGTGTGTGTGAAGAAAAGACTCGTTAAATAGACAGGAATGACCATATACATAAATAGGGCGTTTAGACTTTTTGTCACTTTGAGCTGTTCCTGGCCACTGCTCAGGAAAAATAAAACCTACAGCAATTTACAGTACACTACACAAACCTATTTGAATCATACTACAATTAGTAAGGTACTTGACTATGTTGTGGCAATTTTATAGTTGCTATTGTAACACGTCAACTATCGTTAACGAAAACAATTTAAACATCCCGGGACAATAACCGTTTTCAAGGTATACCGCAGTTACAAAAGTCAAGGTTTTAAAACCGCCGCAATTTTCTGTTATTGTCATGACGGTCAGTGACCAGCTGTAGTTCACAGACTCTGGGAATTGACTACAGCGCCCAAAAGACTACAAGTTCATACATACCATGCGCATTACACCCGGTCCACGTACACTGATTGGCTCACAGCTGTTCCTGTTTCCTGTTAATTTCCTGGACTATTTATACAACCATTTCACCTCTGTTTGTCACTGCGTCGTTTGTCCATCTTGTCTCCGTATTCCTGTAAGTTTAGAGTTTCTGATTCCTGAGCCCTGTCTCTGTTTTGTGTTTCTTGTTTTATTGTTTATTTGTACTTTGCACTTTGGACACCTTGTTTTTCTGTTTGATGCACATTGTAAATAAAACTGCACTTGGATCCGCACCTTTTTGTTCCTGTTTGATCTTGCTAACGTGACAGAACGACGCAGTCACATTATGGATCCAGCAGACAATAGCATCATGCTTTTAAAACAAGGTAACCGCTCAATAGAGCGTTATATAAAGGAGTTTTTGGAGCTAGCCCCGAAGAGCTCTCACAGTGATCTTTTGCTGATGATGTGTTTCCGGGGAGGACTTTTGGAACCAGTTCGTTCCCTCATGCCACCATACGAAGACGACTGGAACCTTTATCGTTTTATTGAAGTGGCCTTATTAATCTCCGGCTCCCCTCTCTCTGTTGCCCTGAAGGAGGAGAACCCTCAGGAGGGCGGCCTGAGTGTAGGGCAACAGAGAGGGATATTTTCAGGGCCGGCTGATGTATCTATGGGAAGGAGGAGAGAGGCGGGGTTGGAGTTGCGTCCTTATCCGCGTCGGGCTGTCCGTAGACCACCTTTCTCTGAGCCTCTGGAGAGTCTGCTAGAACTGTGTGGAACCCCAGTGTCTGCTCCAGTCTCACAATGCCCGCCAGTGTCGGCTCCAGCTCCAGAGCAAGCTCCCTCTCCTGATGACAACACTCTCCCTTCTCAAACCACCAGACGAAGGAGGCACAGGAGGAGGACTGCCCATATCCCAGAGCGCCCGCCAGTGTCGGCTCCAGCCCCAGAGCGCCCGCCAGTGTCGGCTCCAGCCCCAGAGCGCCCGCCAGTGTCGGCTCCAGCCCCAGAGCGCCCGCCAGTGTCGGCTCCAGCCCCAGAGCGCCCGCCAGTGTCGGCTCCAGCCCCAGAGCGCCCGCCAGTGTCGGCTCCAGCCCCAGAGCGCCCGCCAGTGTCGGCTCCAGCCCCAGAGCGCCCGCCAGTGTCGGCTCCAGCCCCAGAGCGCCCGCCAGTGCCGGCTCCAGCCCCAGAGCGCCCGCCAGTGCCGGCTCCAGCCCCAGAGCGCCCGCCAGTGCCGGCTCCAGCCCCAGAGCGCCCGCCAGTGTCGGCTCCAGCCCCAGAGCGCAGTTCAATGCCGGTTCCAGTCCGGCTCCTGGCTTTACCGGCGCCACTCAAGCTCCTCGCCCTGCCGGCGCCACCCAGGCTCCTCGCCCTGCCGGCGCCACCCAGGCTCCTCGCCCTGCCGGCGCCACCCAGGCTCCTCGCCCTGCCGGCGCCACCCAGGCTCCTCGCCCTGCCGGCGCCACCCAGGCTCCTCGCCCTGCCGGCGCCACCCAGGCTCCTCGCCCTGCCGGCGCCACCCAGGCTCCTCGCCCTGCCGGCGCCACCCAGGCTCCTCGCCCTGCCGGCGCCACCCAGGCTCCTCGCCCTGCCGGCGCCACCCAGGCTACTGCCATTACCAATGCCATCCAGGTGTCTTGCCCTGCCGGCACCACCCAGACGTCTTGAACTGCCGGTCCCAGTCCGGCTCCAGGCCCTGCCGCTTTCAGTCCGGCTCTTTGCTCTACCGACCTCGCTCGGGCTCCTTGCTCTGCCAGCTCCAGTCCAGCTGCCTCCAGTCCTGCCGGCTCCAGTCCAGCTGCCTCCTGTCCCGCCGGCTCCAGTCCAGCTGCCTCCTGTCCCGCCGGCTCCAGTCCAGCTGCCTCCTGTCCCGCCGGCTCCAGTCCAGCTGCCTCCTGTCCCGCCGGCTCCAGTCCAGCTGCCTCCTGTCCCGCCGGCTCCAGTCCAGCTGCCTCCTGTCCCGCCGGCTCCAGTCCAGCTGCCTCCTGTCCCGCCGGCTCCAGTCCAGCTGCCTCCTGTCCCGCCGGTTCCAGTCCAGCTGCCTCCAGTCCCGCCGGTTCCAGTCCAGCTGCCTCCAGTCCCGCCGGTTCCAGTCCAGCTGCCTCCAGTTCCGCCGGCTCCAGTCCCGCCGGCTCCAGTCCAGCTGCCTCCAGTCCCGCCGGCTCCAGTCCAGCTGCCTCCAGTCCCGCCGGCTCCAGTCCAGCTACCTCCAGTTCCGCCGGTTCCAGTCCAGTTGCATCTCCAGCCGGCTCTCCTAAAACCCCCTGCCTTGTGTCTCCTGCGAGATCATCCATGGGTCATCCCTCCCGCCCCTCCCTGGTGGTCTTTCCCACTGTTTGGGACTGATTCCCCGGCTGCACCCTGGCTTTCTGCTGGGGCGCCTGACCCATGGACCTACCCTGGTCTGACCCTCCCATCCCTCCCCTTG